CCTTGTCTACTACCATGATGTCTGGTTGATTGGCCAATCAACCAGACATCATGGTAGTAGACAAGGATCAGGAGACCATCTGGATCGGGAAGTCCCACAGGATCTTAGCCTTGTTATTCTCCATGACCTTCTGTGGAATCTCCCATCTGGACTTGGGAGGGTCTCACCCATATGCTAAGCAGATGTTCTTGAACTGTATACAATGCCAACTACTTGGCTGTGCCATTCAGTGTATGCTGTTCCTGCCTGTATCTTACACCCTGGCACTATGTGTTGGACTGTCTCTGAGGCCTCTCTCCACAGTCTGCACCTTGGGTTCTGTCTAGTGTGGTAGACCCCAGTTTCTATGGATCTGGGACTTAGTACCTGTTCTTGCACTGTTATGATCAGTGTCTCAGTGCTGTCTTTTACTCCAGCCCTTTCCAGCCACTGGTAGGATTTCCCAATGTCAGCCACCCCAGCTGTCTGTGGATGGTATATCCCATGCAGGCGCTTGTCTTGCCATGGCACTTCCTCTGCGTGAACTTCCTCCCACGTCTGCTGCTGCCTCAGGCATTCCCTCAGCAGCTCATCTTACTGATGTACTCCTGGATGCTCTGGGTTTCATTCAGAACAGTAGCTTTGACACTCATGAGACCCCATCCGCCCTCTTTCTGGCTGGTGTACAGTCTCAGGGTGTTGGACTTGGGATGGAAACCTCCGTACATTGTGAGGAGCTTCTGGGTCTTCACATTGGTAACTTCCATATCCTCTTTTGGTCAGCTCACTATACCAGCAGGGTATCTGATGATTGGCAGGGCAGGCATGTTGATGTCATGATCTTGTTTTTCCCATTGAGCTGGCTCTTCAGGATGTTGCTGCCTTCCTTGCCTCCTCATTGTGGATCCCATGTGACTGTGGGATACCAAGATACTTGTAGCTGGTCTGTATGTCTGCTGTGTGGCCCGCTGGTAGTTCTACCCCATCAGTCTGAACTACCTTCCCTGTCTTTACTACCATCTGGCCACACTTATCCAGTCTGAATGACATGTCCTTACTGTAGATTCCTGTCAGGTGGATCAGTGAGTCAATGTCTTGTTCACTCTTAGCATGCTGCTTGATGTCATCCATGTAGAGAAGGTGGCTGATGGTAGTTCCACTCTTGAACTTGTATCCTTTTCCAGTCCTTGTGATAATCTGGCTGAAGGGATTCAAACCTATGCAGAATAGCAGCAGGGACAGTGTATCACCTTGGAATATGCCACACTTGATGGCCACTTGTGCAAGCTATTCCAGTAGCCCACTTATCGTCAGATTGTCCTGGTTCTCCAACATCTGGTGCAGATCTTGTTAATCCGGGCAATGTCCAAGTCAGCATGATTCTCTTAGTTCATGTCTCTCTCATATCTGAGGTAGGCAGATCAAGCATTAGGGGGTGTTTGTCCAAAGACCCCTACTAGAAAGGTAGGTACCAGCCAGGATTTAAATCCCAGTCTCCCATATCAAATGGTGGTGCTTTAACCACGATGCTTTCTAGCTGTTCAATATAATAATTACATATTTAATACATTAAAAGGAAAATAAACTTAAAATACTAAACTAATCCTATACATTTTCAAAAATGTTGAAGGAAAAGAGAAAAAGTCTAGATTAATGTCAGTATCCAGAAGTGAATTTTTCATTGACACTGATTGCTAAAGATAGTATTTCCTATCTTTCTTATATATTTGGTGAAGCCTGGGAGACGTGCTGCATCATGCTGCTACCTAATTATGGTTATACTAAAGTTCTGATCGCCATTATTTTTCATGGCTACTTTTCACCCGTGGAAGAAAAAGTTGTTTCTAAAATAATTGGCAATTTGGAAGTATAGAGATTAAGGTTTCTCCCACACTTCCACTATTTCAATTCTCAAAAGTAGTCTGAAGCTAACTTCTGGATATTTTTGCTACTACTAACCCTTGATATACTGAGGACACCATGAGCCAATCCCTTCAGAGAAAACTACAAAAATGGTATTGAATTAGCATCTTATCCTTTCTGCTTTATTTCAAATTGTGTATATTTGGTGATTTTTGAAAAAAAAAATCAGTGTGGTAGCTGGGCGGGGAGGGGGGTTCAAAACTTTTAAAACTGCTTATAGTAATAAGAAGTGCATACCTATTGCACTAGAAGGTGATCAATCCTTTTGTTGCATTTTAAACAGTTCTGCCTGAGCCACTTCCATATATTATCTCTTTGTTTTGGACTTAAACATTCTTTAGCCTTTTGTCTAAGTAACAGTTCCTTCATATCTTCATCAAGGTCATATTCCTTACTCTGTACCGAAGCTTAACAGCTTTAGTGTCAACCATAGTTAAGGGATTCATCCAGTATAGTCTTCCCCACAGGGAATGAAATCACAGCCAGCCTTACTTTGATAGTCCTATTCCCTTTTACCTAGAACCTCCAAACAACCTTTGTGGTTTCTATGTTTACAAAGGATAAAACCATGGTGCTTGATCAAGATTGGAGCCACCACACAGAGCGTGAGAGAAGGTTAATCCTTTCCCAGCTTCTTTGTTTTGTCAACTAACTCCCCCCATAGTGTTGAAAAAGAAAATAGGAAAAGTAGAGATACTGTAGGAACACCTTCTCCACACCTTGTTTTCCTGAAGGAGTGATAGCTGCTTAATCATGTTACACATTAGTCCACATTTGGATGAGATGTCAGATCATGTTTAAGATATGTTCATTTGTAACAAGCTATTATCACAAATTGTTGTTAAAGTACTGCTCCATAACCTATTATTTTGATTGGAGCAACAGTAAGCCAAACAGAGCATAGCTTAACATGCTGCATTAACTGAGTCAGAAGTTATTAAGATGAATTTGGAATAAATGGGAGAGGATTCGTGAGACTTGCTGATCCTCAAAACT